AGTGGAACTGCCCCATAGGGATGCCAAAGCTAAATTTTTATGGAAGGGGACTACCTCATCTTTCTCCCATGGAGCAGCTGGGGGCGGTGGTTCAAATCACTCATCTTTCTGTTAGCAGCCATGAGCTTTTAACCATTGCGCCACTGGGGCTCCCTTCCTGGTGATCCACTTTTGGAAAATCAGCCATTAAAAACCAGATGGAGCACATTTCTAGTCTGACACACATGGGGTCACCCAGGAGTCAGGGTCATTTTGACAACTGGTATCATACCTATAAAACCCCTTGCTGTTGAGTCAATTCCAGCTCACAGCACTCCTAGAGGTCAGAGTGGAACTGCACCATAGAGTTTCCTAGGCTGTCAATCTTCACAGAAGCAAAGCCCAAACCACACCCACTGCTGTCAAGTCCATTTCCACTCACAACGCCCCTAGAGGACAGAATAGAACTGCATCACAGGGTTTCCAAGGCTGTCAATCTTCGCAGAAGCAAACTGCCTCATCTTTCTCCTGTGGAGAACTACGGAGCATTTGGTTAGGACCGGAGGGCTTTAACCGCTGGGCCACCAGAGCTCCTGCCTGGAACATAGTGAGTGGCGATTATTGTTAACTGGTGTTAATAGACCAGTAACTTATCTGCTGATTTTAAGAACTATTTATTAAGCTCTTACGTGGTGCCAATGTTTTATCTCTGTTGTCTGGATTTTCAAAACCTCTGGATCCCTCAGGGCGCAAGGTTACTGTCTGCGTTTTGATGATGTCGAACCAGGGGCTCAGAGAGGTTAAGTAAGGGGCCCCGGCAAGATTTAAATCCTGGCCACTGCCTGCATCTCAGCACCTCGCTGAGAGACTCTTTCCGCGATGCCTGAGTCTCCGCCTCCCCTCCCACCACCAGCCCTCAGAGTTCCCGGGGTGGGAGGACCTCAAGTCCAGGGTCCTGAGGAAAGAGGGGACGGGGTGGGGGGCTGGACTCCTGGGTGCCAGGGGAGGAGGGGACAGATTCCAGGATCTGATGGGAATGGAGGTGGGTGGGAGCTTAGAATCCTGGGTCCTGGGAGAAGGGCGGCTGGGGGCCCACCCCTTTGCGCCTGAGAGAAGAGGGGCTCCCGGTGGCAGAGGTGAGGGGGACGGGTCATGATCGCACATCTCTGGGTCCTCTGCAGTGGAAGAGCGCTGGGCCCGGGAAATCTCCCTCCTTCCTCGCGGTGGCCGCGCGATCTCGGCTTTCGGGCCGCAGGTTCGGAGGGGAGGACGAACGGGTGCAGGGGGCGGAGCCGCGGACCTGCGACAGGGGCAGGGGGAGGAGCCGAGC